ATTATCGACGGATTTTTTTGATGGATTTTTATATCTGTCTACAAATATATTTTTACCAATGGATATTATAGATGGATTAAGAATCTATATATAGATAAGTAAACCTTATAGACGAATTTTTTTTATAGATTTTTATTTTTAAAAAAAGTAAAAATTCCAGATGGATATTATCAATGGAAATGTGAAAGAAAAAATATTTTAAAATTTCATATTGACATTACTGACAAAATTTTTCCATGAAAAAAATGATTTTTTCTACAAATATTTCCCATGAATATCCATCAAAAATCAATTCCATCCGAAAACGCTAAAAATTCATCTGTAATGTGAAAAAATGAAGAAAGTACAATGGCAACAAGTAAAAAAGTAACCAACAAATTTCTTAAATACTTAAATAATTTTATATGCTAATTATTGTTGAATATATTTTTATATAATATATTTATATTAAAAACATTATTTTCATTAATTGTAAACCATTTTTTAAAATAGAAAATTTAAATATATATTAATTTTAATATATAAATTGATAAATATATAATAATTTATTATAAAACTACACATACTTATATACATACATACATATACACATGTAACAGCTCAATTTTCACAGATTGTACGAGGGCCCAAAGCCCAATAGGGGTGATTTAGTAGCCCAGAACGGGACGTTCCCAAATTGGAACGGGCCGTTCCAAACTACTAAAACGAAGGTGATTTAGTATCTCAGAATGGGCCGTTCCCAAATTGGAACGGGCCGTTCCAAAATACTAAAGTTGCCTACAAATCTTAGTTGGGAACGGGGCATTTCAAACTACAAAAAAGGCTTGTAATCCTAGTTGGGAATGAGTCGTTCTGGTTTAAGAACGAGTTGTTTCAAATATGGACGTTATGGGTTAAATACAACCCCAGAACGGTTTGAGAACAGGCCGTTCTGGATGTGAATTTTACACATGCCGTCAGAGTCCAGAACGGGCCGTTCCGGCGACGCTTGATGCCTGTAATAGAGAGCTCTGACACTCCCAAAAAGCACACCTTTCAGTTCTGACTTCTTTCAGTTCTGACTCCGGATCCTTTATTATACATTCTTTTCTTTTCCTTCTACACTCTTTGAAGACCGAGGGGCACTCAGAGGAGGAGACCAAGGAGATCTCTATTTTAGTTTCAGCTACTGTTTATCCAGGTACGGGGGAAAAGGGGATTATTTGTATGCAAAGTTACATGAGGAATTGGGTAGAAGAGGAAGCTCGTAGGATTATGAGTAATTTTATAATTATTTTTGTTTGGAGAATTATTGATCTTATGAGATTTTGTACGTATTTAGGATTATGTATATATATTTAATTTGTAAGAATGATGATTTGGGAGAGAGAATGAAATTATAGAAAAGTGCCTGTAAGTTAGGTTTTGGAAAAATTGGATTATTTCTGTTTGAGAAATTGATGATCCCATTAAATTTTGTATGTGTTGAGGATTAGAAATATATTTAATTTGTAAGAATGATAATCTGAGAGAGAGAGAACGAAATTGTAGAAAAGTGTATGTGAGTTAGGTTTTGGAATAATTGAGGGTTTAACCGTTTATGTTAAGATTATATTAAATTGGTAATTCCATTAATTATTATAATAATTTATGAATGTTATTGTTATCACTACAAGAAAAATTATTATTATCTATGGAATATTATCTACAGAATCCGTAGATAATGTTTAGTTATCTACGGAATATTATCTACGTAATTTTTTCCGTAGATAATATTTAGTTATCTACGGAATATTACCTACGAAATTATTTTCGTAGATAATATTTAGTTATCTACAAAAATTTCTGTAGATAAGTTATCTACGGATTTTTTCGTAGATAACTTATCTACGGATTTTTCCGTAGATAACTTATCTACGAAAATTTCTGTAGATAACTTCACCCATAGATAAATTTCGTAGGTAAAACATTTTATTTGAAACATCAGTTAACATATTTATTATCTTTTTATTTTTATTTATTGTAAAATAATTAAAATATTTAATTTAGCATCATTAAAAAAATAATCATTATAAGATTTAATTTTTTTAATTTAATTATTTATTATAATACTTTTAGTCACCGTATTGACCAAAAAATATTTTTTGATTAAAATATATTTTAAAATTTTGGTTAATTCATTATAATATATTAAAATAAATATTTTTAAAAATTTTCATTAGATAAGTTATCTACGAAAATTTTCGTAGATAAGTTATCTACAGAAATTTTCGTAGATAAGTTATCTACGGAAATTTCTGTAGATAAGTTATCTACGGATTTTTTTGTAGATAACTTATCTATGGAAAAATCCGTAGATAACTTATCTACGAAAAAATCCGTAGGTAACTTATCTACGGATTTTTCCGTAGATAAGTTATCTACGGAAATTTCCGTAGATAACTTATCTATGGAAATTTCCGTAGATAAGTAATTTAATTATTTATTATAATACTTTTAGTCACTGTATTGATCAAAAAATATATTTTAGATTAAAATATATTTTAAAATTATTTTTTGTTAAAATATATTTTAAAATTTTAGTTAGTTCATTATAATATTTTAAAATAAATATTATTAAATATTGTCATTAGATAAGTTATCTATGGAAATTTCTATAGATAAGTTATTTATAAAAATTTCCATAGATAACTTATCTATGGATTTTTCTGTAGATAACTTATCTACGGAAAAATCCATAGATAACTTATCTACGAAAATATCCGTAGGTAACTTATCTACATATTTTTCTGTAGATAAGTTACCTACGGATATTTTCGTAGATAACTTCACCCGTAAAAAAATTTCTTAGGTTTAAATTGATTGTAAGCCTATACATAGACATCTTCTATAAATTTTAATGGAAATTTAATGATAGTTTTTCATCTTCAATTTTAATTTTAATTTGTCTGCAAGATCCAATTTTTCTATATTTTTCACAAAATATTTCCAACAAGTGGTATCAAGAGCTTCCTTCTTACGGGCTGTGAGGAAAAAGTTTATTGAGCGCTAAACACATTGAGGTTGAGTGCAAACACTAAATTGGGTGATTTATTGTTCAAACAATTTTTGGTGCAAGGATGTCTACTTCCACCAATTCACCAGTAATTCCAATGTTTAATGGTGAAAATTATCATATTTGGGCCGTCAAGATGAAATTTGTTTTAAGATCTCAAGGTTTATGGAATGTTGTAATTTCTGAAGCTGATCGACCACCATTGAGAGAAAATCCAACCATTGCACAAATCGAAGCTTATGAGGAGGAGAAGCTGAAAAAAGATAAAGCTATCACTTGCCTACATGCAGGACTTGCAGATCATATTTTTACTAAAATCATGGACTTAGAAACACCTAAACAGGTGTGGGACAAGATTCAAGATGAATTTGAAGGCAGTAGCAGAGTCAAATCTATTAGGCTTCTCACATTGAAGAGAGAATTTGAATTGATGAAGATGAAGGATAATGAATATGTTAAAGATTATTCTGGCAGATTAATGGATGTTGTGAACCAAATGCGACTTCTTGGTGAAACATCATTTATAGATCAAAAGGTTGTCGAAAAAATCATGGTTTCGGTGCCCGAAAGATTTGAAGCCAAGATTTCTGCAATTGAAGAGTCTTGTGATTTGCAAACTCTCACAATTACTGAATTGACCAGCAAGCTTCACGCACAAGAGCAAAGAGTCTCCATTAGAAGTGATGAAGTTGTTGAAGGTGCCTTTCGAGCAAAGCACAATGGAAGGAATTTTGGAAAGTCACGAACTTTCAATAAGAACAAAGGAAAAGATGAAGGTTCTTCGAGAAAAGGAAATTTTTTGCCTTGTTTTCATTGCCAAAGAACCAACCATTCTAAAGAAGATTGTTGGTTTAAAGATAAACCACTTTTTCACTGTAATTTTTGCAATAAAAATGGTCACAGTGAAAAGTATTGCAGATTAAAGAAGAATCAGCCTGAACAACAACTAGAAAAACAGGCAAATGTGGTTGAAGAAAAAAATGATGATGAAGATGAGTATTTATTTATGGCATCTCAAGAATTCAATTCACATGAATTGAATACTTGGCTCATTGACAGTGGTTGCACTAGTCACATGACTAAATATTTATCATTTTTTACCTCCATTGACAAATCAATTAAGCCAAAAGTCAAGATGGGAAATGGTGAAATTGTACAAGCCAATGGAAAAGGTACAATTTCTATTGCAACCAAGAAAGGTATGATAATTGTTAAAGATGTTCTCTACATTCCAAAATTGGATCAAAATGTTCTTAGTGTTCCACAAATGCTAAGGAATGGTTATGGAGTCTCTTTTAAAGAGAATTATTGTTTTATCATGGATGAACATGGTTTAGAGATTGCAAAGATTGAGATGACCAAAAACGGTTTTTATTTGAAATTTGATTTGATTGAAGATCATGATTTTATTGCTAAAATTGATGAGAGTAATGTTTGGCATGGAAGATTTGGTCACACTTTTATGCATGATGTATTTGATATGACAAATTCCAACAAATGGTATTCAAAGACAGGAGGAGGAGTTAGATTGAATGACTATGAAGACAATGATTTGGGTCAAGAAATTAATGTGCAACAACTTGATGACATGGCATTTCAAAACTCAATTTTTGGAGTTCATGAAACTAAAATTTGTGATGTTCATGACAAATCTCAAGGAGGAGTGTTAGATTTATGAGATTTTCCTTTATTTAAATTTTGAATTTTGAATAAATTTTAGATAAGATATTTGTTATTGTTACAGTTTTATTTATTATGTTTTATTTTCAGTTATTCAATATAATCTCAACAAGTAGAGTTGTTAGTAGATGAGATTTGTTAGGAATTTTAAATTGATTGTAAGCCTATACATAGACATCTTCTATAAATTTTAATGGAAATTTAATGATAGTTTTTCATCTTCAATTTTAATTTTAATTTGTCTGCAAGATCCAATTTTTCTATATTTTTCACAAAATATTTTCAACATACCTTCTAAGGGCTGAGATAACTTCAGACTCGTCAGACCCATGTTTAGTAACTTTGTCAAGCTCAAGTATCAGTTGGTAACAATCCTGAAAATGTGGTTGCAACAAAAGAGGGGAACTTAAGAAGATAAACCTACATATTTTCTTCCTTCTTTCTCTTCTATTGATTCAAATTAGCTGTGTGATACGTTTGGTTCCTTTGCTTGTTTTATTGCTGAACAGTATTACTACTTAGGTTTGGCTAAAGTTTAATAGATGAATGAAAGTGAAATTAATGCATATAAATAGAAAATTAACATTGAGTTTAATTTTCATACACTTTCGATATAAAAATTATACTATCAACCACTTAAAAATCATGCTAGATATGGCTTTATTTTTTTTTTTAAAAAGAGAATTACTTCCCGTACATGATAATATATAATTGGATGACAATTAAATTTTTTTTACACTGCATGAATTTAAATTAAATTCATGAATATTTTTGGTAAAAATTGATGCTTATCCATGAGTACTATATATATTAATGCTGCCAGGGGAATACTCAAGGAAATACACTTTACTTTCGAAGTTGAAAATGATAAATGACCAACCTCTATTGCCATACAACCCCCCTGACCAAGATTTGGTTGCATTGGATGTGCTGCATCACCTAACAAAGTCACTCTCCCAATTCCCCAAGTGTTGATCATGTCCCTTAAAATTTCAAATAAATATTCTCTTATTATAATCATTTTATATTAAATCTATAATAAATATTCTGATATTAAATTTAGTCTATATTAATATTAATTAAATATTTATATTTAAAAAATTGTTACAAATTTTAGATCTTATTTACTATGCTTTATAATAGTTTTAGATTTTACAGATTTCATTTATAATTTTATAATAGTTTTATTTTACTTACTGTGTTTTATAATAGTTTTATTTACCCAAGTTATAAGCTCTTGAAGTTAAAATCGATATTCATACATTTTGATTCGTATGGCTGGGTCCGTGAACTATCATGCTTGGGTTAGTTGATTATTATGTCATGCTTATATTTAGAAAATTGAACTAAATGAAGCTTAGGACTCTGAGGAGCATTATGATATTCTCTCTCTTTCTGATTTCTCAATTGTTCCACTCACATTACCTATTATTATTGGGGGTTTGTTTTTTCTTTACCCAAACTTGTCATATTGACATTATAATTTTGTGGTTAAGTCAAGCTTGTATTCTAGTTCTTCAGTTTAATGTAGAATATTAATCTTAAGCTTGAATATTTCTTTAAATTTGACCACACAAGTACATGTAAGCTTTTGTGTTTTGACTACTTGATTGTTTGTACTTTCTGTTCTAAGTTAGCTAGAATTAATGACTGGTTCTCTATATTTTTATTTTATAAAAAAACTACTCATATACTTGATGTTTCCTTTATTCTTTTATCTTTACACAATTCAGGTTGGTACCATATAGTTTAGCATCCTCTTTGATAACATCATTATTACAAATTCAACTTAAAAATATTTTGAAGAAGTTAGATGCAAAATGTAATATATAATTTTTCTAATAAATTGTTTGAGTTATTTAAAATCTTCTACAAAATTTGGGCTTTGATAAATACATAGGGATATTCAACAAGAACTCAAATCAACATTAAACATACTCAAATATACAACTCATATTAGATCATGATAACAATAAACAAACAAATAAGATCGAGAGTCAATCTTGTTATACCTAATAATTTGTTAGAGTTAGTCCCCAACAATTTATTTGATGTATTAAATTTTTTTTCTTAAGTATGAATTCTTGATTATATATATAAGCAATTTAATTGTTATCTTAATTGTTAATATATGTCAATATTTTAATTAAGTATAATAACACCATGAGAATAATTGATTTGTTTAAAAACATATCAAGTGTGATTGATTGAGAGATTCTTTAAACAAATAACATTACAAAATTAAGTTGTAAGGTGAGATTAACCTTTATTTATATACATTATTATGTTATTATCTTTAATTGATGTAGAGTATCTAACAAGATGAGATTAATATTTTGCAAGTTATTAATAATATGCTTAATTAGATTAGAGGAAATTGTCTTAATGAGAGATATTGTACGATATTATTACTTTTCACACATGTAATTTGTAACAGCCCAAAATCGTTGGGCTAGAGGCCCAATTGATTGCCCAGAACGGGCCGTTTCAAAAGTGAAACGGGCCGTTCCGAAACAAGAAAAATGCCCAAAATTGGAAAAGCAGAACGGGCCGTTCTGGTTTTGGAACGGGACGTTCTAGGTGAGAATTTTGCGTAGTTTCGAAGGGCCCAGAACGGCCGTTCCACTTTTGGAACGGGCCTTTCCGGTAGGTGAGCCTGAAATCCTATAAATAACACCCTCACCTCTTATTTTCACACATCTCTCATTCTCTCTTCCTATTATCTTCTGTTCTCTCTTCTTTCCATCTTCTTCTCTCTAAAGACCAAGGGACATTTAGAGGAAAAGACCAAGAGATCACTGTTTAATTCAACTATTGTTTATCCAGGTACGGGGGAAAAGGGGATTATTTATATGTAGAGTTACATGAAGGAATTGGGTAGAGGAAGAGTCCCTTAGGATTATGAGCAATTTTATAATTATTTCTGTTTGGAGAATTATTGGTCTTATTTGATTCTGTATGAATTTAGGATTATGAATATATATTTTATTTGTAAAAATGATGCTCTGGGAGAGAGAACGAAATGATAGAAAAGTGCCTGTAAGTTAGATTTTGGAAAAATTGGATTATTTCTGTTTGAGAAATTGATGATCCCATTAGATTCTGTATGTGTTGAGAATTAGAAATATGTATTTAATTTATAAGAATGATGATCTGAGAGGGAGAACGAAACTGTAGAAAAGTGCCTGTGAGCTAGGTTTTGGAACAATTGGGGTTTTTACCGTTATGTTAAAATTATATTAAATTGGTAATTCTGTTGAGTATTATATTAATTTGTAAAAGTTATTGTTATATTACCTGATAAGAATTGATAATCTAGATGTGAATTGCTTGAGGGGTGTGTAAACCCTTATTTTGTTGGATCTATCTGTTGTGTATGTGATTTGAAATTATGTATGTGATATGGAGCTGTGAGATGAGATGTTGTGTGGATATGATTATGATTGTGACTGTGGTACCTCACACTAATGACCAGGGATGAGACGAACCCTGGGAGGTGATGCTCCAGGGACGAGCGTGGCCCTGGCATGGTGTGAGATGAGTGAGACAATTAACACACATCACTTATGTCAAATATGGTAGCCCTGGCATAGAGTTAATTGCAAGAGATTGTGTGGATTGTAATGTGATTGTGGTCCCTCGCACTAATGACCAGGGATGATACGAACCTTGGGTAAGTGATGCTACAAGGACGAGCGTACCCCTGGCATGGTGTGGGATGAGTGAGACAATTAACTTGTATCACTTGTGTCAGTTGTGGCGTAGTCTTGACATAGTGTTAATTGTAAAATTTATGTGAATTGTGATGGATTGATGTGAATGAGATATGATTGTGGTTCTTCACACCTATGACCAAGGGTGAGCACGGCCTGAGATTGTTATATGAGTATCGTGACCTTGGTTAACATGTCAGGGGTGAGCACGACCCTAGGTTAGGGGTAACGTGACCTTGGCACAGTGTTATATCAGGGGTGAGCACGACTCTGGATTGTTATGTGAGTATCGTGACCTTGGTTAACATGTCAAGGGTGAGCACGGCCCTAGGTTAGGGGTAACGTGACCTTGACACAATGTTATATCAGGGGTGAGCACGGCCTTGGGTTGTTAATTGGGTAGCGCGTGACCTTGGCATAGTGTGAAGTACAAGATTTGTGATGAATGGTGTGATTGAAAATTATAACGTGATGACGATGCATGATTGATTAAAATAAGATATGTTGAAATATTTATGAATATTAGTTATAATGAGATAATATGTTGTGTTTTCTTATGTGCTATATATATATATATGTTTTCTTTTCTCACCGTGCAATTTGTGGACGTTTTAGGTGAGAAGATCCGGCTGCGAGTGGCATCTAGAATGCCAACAGTTAAATTAGGGGTATGCTCTGATATTGTGACATCGGGGCAGAGAACTTTTAGGACATAATTTTTATATGGATTTGGAATTGTAAATATCATTTTGAAAATAATTTATAAACTCTTGTGTTTCATTTTCTAAATCCTTATTATTGTGGTCATTGAAGAACGATTTTTAAAGTTTCTCATGTGAACCCTTTTAGCGAAATTTAAAACATTTATTTGTAAAGTTACAATATGTGTTGGGGTAGTAAGGGTGTCACATAATTAACTCCCAAACCTAATTTTTAATTTTCATAGATTATTTTTAAGGTTTTTCAGTGTTTACTGTAATAAAATTATTGATGGTGACTCTACTTGTTTTCAAAACATTATTGTTTTAAAATTTTTTTTTTATCCCATTGCAATAATTCTAGTTGCGACAATAATGTTATCACAAGTTAATTATCATAAAATACTTGTAACTTTAGTGATTTTCATTTGGGATTTAGTACCTATTTGGAAATCATTAATTAAGTAAAATATTTGAATTAAATAATTAAATTATGTAGTTAACGATTTTCATGTTGAATCTTTTACTTCATTAGCACAATTTCCCCCCTTACATGAATACTTCACATCTACTAAAAAACGTAATTAAAACTAAAATTTAAATGAACGATTATGTTTTATTTTTTCCCTCTCTTCTCCATTTTAGCCTTCATTTTTTCCCCTCCCGAAGTCCAAATAATCTGAAACATAGAATCAAGCTCAAACATGTCCAAACCTCGATATGCCCAATGTCTCAAAAATCTAAACACTGCGTTGGCGTTGCCCAGTAATTGAGGTCCAACAATCTCATATATTGAATGGGCCCATTATCTTTCACTCCTAACTCAATTTCTTCTCTCAAAACAAGCTTAATAATCTACATTTATAATAATGGAGATTGTTGAATCACTTATCACATTTTTAGACTATTTTTTTTATTTTTTTAATATAAATTATAAATTTATTTATTTATATTTTACTTTATAATTTTGCATTTTTAATAATTACTTATTATTATATAATTTATTATTTATTATTTTTAAAAATAATTCATAAAATTATGAAATACCATTTGTACACTACTACTACTACTAATAATAATAAAATATTTAATAATAACAACAATAAAATATTTATTTAATTTGATGGATCAATTTGGTTAATTCAAAATCTATATTGAAACTAACTAATTGGATTTTTAAATTTTAAATCCAAAGGAATCATTTATGCAAAAAGTCAAGAGGGAGAATCTAAGAAGCATGGTTCTTAGAGAACCATACTATCATAATTAAATGTAAAGTAAATATCAACGAATGAAGAGTTATGAATATAAGAGTTATTTCATCTTCTATAAATAGGGAGACTTGTGATGAGAGTAATCACTATCGAGAAGAAATCACTATCTAGAGGGGACTAAAGAAGATTGGAAATTACATCTAATTTATTCTAGAGTCTCCTTCCAAAGAATGAGAGAAGTAAAGTGAGAAAGTTCTTGTATTTCTCTTTATTTTGGTATTGTTTTTATTTTATTTTATTTTTTGGGTAATTATATTACTGATATAAAATATCTATTGACTTCATCGATGACTAATTTCCTTTAAAAAAAACATGACCAATTACTTTTAATAAAGTCTTTCCTCTTAATCACATTTTTTTCATATACAAAATTTAAAGAGTTAATCACCTATATACACTGTCAGTGTAAAGTTTTTTTATACTCGCAACTAATTATATCTTTTAATTGTGTCATGTCACTATAAACACATTTACTTTTAATAGTAACATGATACAATTAAAAAATATAATTGATTGTTAGTATAAAAAAACTTTACACTGGCAGGTGATTAACTCAAATTTAAATATGAGACTTTATATAAGAGAAACCGGTCCTATATTATTTAGATCCACAACTTGTTGATGTATGAATCAGACTATCAAAAAGATATTCTTATGTTATTTATTTGTTTATTTTTATTTTTATTTTTTACTTTAACATAATGTCTACTTTGCTATCATAGAAGTGAGAGCTAGATCCGCTAATTCCCCACAAGATTTATGTCCATCATCCCTACATTTGGATAGCTGTGTGCATGAGTGCAATGTAGGAATATGGGAACCGTGGCTTCGATCCATGATGGTTATGTGGACCGTGGGTTGCCCACTTACAAAAGTATTCTTCATCTATTGCAAAAATAATTGCAATAAGAACCAGAAGTAAAAGATCAAGACCAAGAAAATGGGACAGTTGTGATCTATCTTCACAAAAATCGACAACGTGTAAATAGTTCTCAACCACCTTGTACCAAATTCTCAAAAGATAATTACCCAACACTTGGCATATTTGTTGGAATGATCATATTTTCAGCACTTACTTTTCTCATAACACTTATTATTATAAATAAACAAGTGACGTGACAGAGAAATGGAGGGAATTAAATGGATTATAAAATTTATAAAATAATGTATGAGAACAACATTCCTCCTTTGCGTGTCTTTTGAAAGGAAAAGAGATATATCCATCTCTTTCGGGCTTAATAAAAGGTAGAAAATATGATGTTAACATTGTTATAAAATTATTGAGTAAGCTATCATTGTTATAAAGTTTAGCCATTAGCAATTAATTTCAAGAGTAGTGCAACGCATTATTAATTAAGGTCCTTTGATATAACTTAATTTCATGAAACCTTCCTTATTTAATTGAATTTATATGATGTTTTAAATTTATGATTTTTTTTATCCTGTTCATCTTGGTGTTCATTCTATATGCATGATTAATGATCAATGTCATGCAATTTGGCAATTTGATACGAGACCATGTATAGATTGGTTTCGGTAGGAAAATTTGGCACACTGTCCATTTTTAAATCAATGACAAAACAATGTTTCAAAACATTAGGACCTTTCAAAGCTTGTCCATCTACACAGAATAATGAGTAAAAAGAACGTGAGGAAAAGCCAAGTGAAATAGATATGGGGTAGCTAGTTCCAAAGTTTTTTCTTCTTCTAATTTAACATTTCAAGATATAGAATATGGAATTTCAATAATGAAGAACTATATTTATTATGTTTGAAAAATGTTTCATTCAATAATGTGCCCTGACCTATATAAAGGTGGATGGTTTCAGTTCACAATATTTTTTGTCAAGAGACAGAAAGTGTGATCATGACAGCTGAAGGCTTCTCACTCATAGTGGTTTTCATTCTGCTGATTGAATTAGTTGATTCTCTAAACCGTAGCAATTTTCCAGTGGAGTTCTTATTTGGAACTGCCTCATCTTCTTACCAGGTTCATGTTTTTGTCTATCTATCTCAATAAAGGGCGTATTTGGGTAAATTTCTACATAAACACTTATAAGAGAATGCTTTTTTCTCTATAAGCTAATTTGTAAAAACTATTTCACATAACTTTTCTAAAAACGTTTTCTTTTAATTTATGCATTAGTTAATTTTAATTTGTGCATAAGTTAATTTTAACTTAAAAAAAATTATTTCAACTTTTTTTTTCTTCTCTTAAAACTGTTTATGGAGAAGACTATCCAATCAGGCTAAATTACATATACAAAACCAATGTTGTTTTAGTATGTTGTCTATTTCTTATTTGATTGAATGGTGTAACAAGTATGAAGGTGCAGCAAAAGAAGGGGGCAGGGGACCAAGTATATGGGACACCTTCACCCACATACATTCAGGTAAATAGCATGTGCCTCATTTATCTTTAAAATTAAGATGATAATCATCTATGATCTTTCTTCTTTTTTTGCTTCTAGTTCTTTTGAGTTTCTCAAAGTTGGTAGTTCTCTATGACTTCTGTAAGCTACCACTCATCAATATTTTCTTCTTGTTGGGTGCAAGGAATTTGTTCCATTAATATGTAAAGTACAACCTTTTTCATTTAAATTGACCTTGGTCTTTGTTTATCTTGGACAAATTATCTAGTTTTATTGGAAGATTGTCTTGCATTCTTTCTTGAGGCTCAATTTCCCTACTGAATATTAGAACTGAAGAAAGAAAGTGTTAACAAAGTAAATGATGTTGAACTGTTGAATGAAGCAATGAGACTAGCACTATAACAGATAATAAATTAACTAAGATTTGCACAGGTTCCAATATGGGTTTTATTTTTTAATTTTTAAGGCTTTTATTCTTTTGATGCATAAGAATTTAGCATGTTAACTTGGATTTCAAGTGGCAACTAGGTTGTAGTTCTGAAAACTTGTAAGGAACTTTCTTAAGTTTGAATCTTTTAGCAGATAGGATAAGGGACCAAAGTAGTGGAGACCTAGCAGTTGATTCTTACCACCGCTACAAGGTACTTCTAACTCTCTTCAGCATGCACGTGTGTTTGAGTGAAGTTTAATGTTCATTAAATTATTCCTCTGAGATATTTGAGCAAACAATTTGGCAGGAAGATGTGAGTATAATGAAGGACATAGGATTTGATGCATACAGATTCTCTATCTCATGGTCTAGGGTTCTACCTGGTAAGAACTAATAGGAATATTCAACATCATTTATTCTTTTTATCTTCAATGTATTTGCTTTCTAGTTTTGGTTACATATAACTTGTACATCAACGACGACTTTCTGTTTTATATGATCTTAATTCGTAGACATTAAATTCACATAAAATGTGATTCAATATATGTCATACATTTGGTTTAGGTGGAAGCCTGAGGGGAGGTATAAACAGAGAAGGCATCACATATTACAACAATCTTATCAATGAACTCCTCTCTAATGGTCTGACTCAGTCATTCTATTGCATCCATGTGTACCCAAATCTATTATTTTCTCACTCTAGACAAAATCTTCTCTATCCTATAACCACAGGTTTGCAGCCCTTTGTTACTCTATTTCATTGGGATCTCCCTCAAGCCCTTGAAGATGAATATGGTGGTTTTTTAAGTCCAAATATTCTGTGAGTAGTTTTCTTATCAAACTTTGATAAACTTCCATAGAAGAAAAAATAAACTACACTTCTCCCATAAGTTAAAATTAACTTATTAATACATAATTTATAGAAACTCTTTTATATTACTTTCTGCAATTAATTGATTTAAGCCTATGTAAAAATTAATTTTATTTCATTTTTTTCTTCTTATTTTCTTTTTTTATAAGTGTTTACAGAAAAGTTTATCCAAACATTATCGATATATACATGGTCTCCCTAGTAACTGATGTAAAATCTGTCTTCAGAAAGGATTTTGCAGACTATGCAGATGTATGCTATAGGGAATTTGGAGATAGAGTGAAGCACTGGATCACTATAAATGAGCCAGTCACCTACACCACACAGGGTTATGCAAATGGATTATTTGCACCAGGAAGATGCTCCAAGTGGTTGCCTTTCTACTGCAGTGTTGGGGATTCTAGTACTGAACCATACCTGGTCACTCACCACCAGATTCTTGCTCATGCAGCTGCTGTCAAAGTCTACAGGGACAAGTACCAGGTTACAATATGAATCATTTTGTGATGCACTAGTACAAACTAAAGCAGTTTCATCAAATAAGTTGTAGATAAATTGGTAGCGGTAAATTTAACTGGGGTGGTTTTGTTTTATTTAGATTTCTCAAAAGGGACAAATTGGAATAACATTGAACTCCCCATGGGTAATGCCACTTTCCCAGTCAAAGGAAGACGTAAATGCAGCATCTAGGGCCCTTGCTTTCCTGTTTGACTGGTAATTTTTTCTATTTTTTAATTCTTGTTTTCTATTGCTATAAGTTAAAAAGTAAAGTTTATAAAATTATAACAATTTGGTTTATATGGACTTAATAATGTAACATACTCTTTTTTTCTATTTTTGGCGATAATCTGCCTAATGGATAAGTGGACCCAACTGAAATTGTTACCTGACTTCCAAGGTTTATGGAGCCACTAAAGTCTGGATCATACCCTGTTGAAATGGTTAATAAAACTGGTGAAAGATTGCCAAAATTTTCGAGGGAGCAATCCTTGATGGTTAAAGGATCCTTTGATTTCGTAGGACTTAACTATTACACAGCAAGTTATGCAGCCAATGTCCCTTGCACAAGAGAAAACCAAACTATGTTTACAGATGCATGTGTTTCTCTCACATGTAAGACTGGTGAAATATATTTAATGTTTTTTATGTTTCAGCATACTTTTGTTTACTTAAGATCTTTATTTGGTGCATCAGCAACGAGGAATGGAGTACAAATTGGTCCGAAGGTAAATGCATATCTTTGGATAACTGCTCAACACATTCAGTTTTTGAAAAATAAATGTAAAATGTGTTTTAAGAAAGATTTGGTAAAAATTGATTTATTTTCTATATTTTAAAATAGTTGTTTTGATTCTCATAATTTTCAAATATGACAGGTTTCTATTAGGATATTAATTAAAATTTCACATCATTAAAATAAGAAAAAAAGTAAAAGTTTATAAAAAAACATACATTTTTCATTGGTTAAGAGTGTTTTAGATGATAAACAAAAGTAAAATTATGAGAAAGTAATCTTAAAGTGGACAATTTCATTATTAATGTAAAATTTTGTGAACTAATACTCTAAATAATCCCACAAATAATAAGATATAATCCTTCTCTTGAAAAATATATTTTTCTCAAAAAAAAAAACAATATATCCTAATAATTGCATCATGAACCTATACTTCATTTTGATTTGACTCGTAACAAAATTTCCCATATTTAAGAATAAAAACAATATATATATATATATATATATTTTTTTTTTTTTTTTCCTCAAACAAAATACACAACATATCCTAATAATTGCATTGTGGACACTGGACATATACATCATTTTAACTTTACCAGCGACAAAATTCACCATATTTAAGAAATATATCCACCAAAACCGTTGTTTTTAAAATGTAAGACTAAAACCAATTTTTACCAAATTTTGGGGTACCTAAAACACATTTTATCCAAAATTGAATTTGGTTGACCAGCTTGAAAACAAGGTGAAAATGGGGTTAACTTCAAATTGGAAAGGGCATTGAAGCCGTAACATTTGAAGGAAAAATCCCATATCAACATTCACCTTCAACAAAATCAAAATTATTATAAAGCAATTCATTTGAGAAAGTATGAACTTTGCAGGGTGCCTCAGACTGGTTATACATCTATCCCAGAGGAATTCAAGATCTTTTACTCTACACAAAGGAAAAGTTCAACAATCCAGTCATTTACATAACAGAAAATGGTAAGTTTCTACGAGTAACAATATCATGTTTCATCTTCACTTCTCAAAATTTCTAAAATGAACACAGGGGTTGATGAACTTAATGACAATGCAAAATCACTTGAGGACCACATAAGAATAGACTACATCAGTAACCATCTTTCCTATGTTCACAGTGCAATACAGTGAGTTTCTTATGTAATGTGATGTTCCACTTTTAGTCACAGTCTATTTTCATAAACTTTTTCAGAAACACTTTTATAATAAAAAATATAAAAATAAAATAAAATAAACTTTTCTACAAGTTAAAAGTTTATGCATAAATTAAAAGTTTTTGAAAAAAATATGAAAGAACTTTTACAATATATAAACAAATCTTAACTTATGAAGAAATTAATTTAATTTATTTATTTTTCTCTTCTATACATATTTATACTTAATCATGTACTTGAACCAAGACCAATGCAATTGGCAGGAATGGTGTGAATGTGAAAGGCTACTTTGTATGGTCATTGTTGGACAATTTTGAATGGGCAAATGGGTATTCTGTTCGATTTGGAATCGTTTATATTGATTACAAGGATGGATTGAGAAGATATCCTAAGAAATCAGCAGAGTGGTTCAAAAATTTTCTACAATGATGTAATCAATCTTGTACTACTTTTGAAGGTTTTAGAGGTATAAATACTTGGAAAAATGTAGCCAATTGTTGAACCCTGTAATTGGATGCAGCTTCAAGTAAACAAATAGGATACCTGTAATTGAATTACATCATGTGAATTCATAAATTTATTTAATTACTTCAACGCCCACTCAGTTTAGTGTTAATTGCATTAATGCCCTCCATAATGATTTCCACTACCCTGAAGTAAGAATCCACTTTTAAATTGTTATTAATGGGTTTTTTTTAGTGATCAACTTGTTCAATTAAGTAAAAGTAAATTTTTTAAATCCTCTGAAAGGAGTTAATTCAGTTAGAATAGTTTAATAGCATTTTCCGAGTGCTACATGTTGAGATCAAGCTGAATTCAATAGACCATCTCGTCTAAATGATTCTCACTGCTGTTAAAAAAACACTTCATACCTCGGCATAATTATTTTAAAAAAAAATTGAGCGAAAATAATAATTTTTTAAAAGTAAATATAATTGAAGGGATAATTTTTTGAAAATAGTTGCAAAAATAAATTAAAAAATAGTTTTGAAAATAAGGTTGTGAAAAACGTACATTAAATAAAATAATACTCTTTACTAATAATATAAGTTATTATGTAAGCAACAATAACTTGTTCGCAGTGGAAAAAAGACAAAATTGACAAAACGCACTAATTAATTGTATTTCTGGTCAACGAGTTTATCCAATTACCTAATAGTAAGTTTATCGTAAAAATTGATAAAGTATAACTTTTTGTCTTAAAAAGAAAACAATATATATATATATATATATATATATATATGAGTTAATCACCTATACACT